CCACGTTTGGCAGACGGATTAGTAACCACAATTAGGCTTTAGAGATGTTTTAAGAAGGACGCTGCTGCCCATTCCTTGCCCTCCCTTAGTCGCCTCTTACGACACCCACAGAAGAAAGGAAAGGAAGGGGTGGCTTATTCTATGCTGGGACCACACGACCATTCAACAAACTGACTAATATGAGGTATTATTTTGTGATGTCTGTTCTGCTAATGTAAGATGCTTTTGTTCCCTTAATCGCTTTTTTTTTACAACACAGGGGGCAAACAAGCATGCGGCTCACCGGCGGCACCTCATGGGCGGCGGTAGTCACTTACCGCCGCCCATGAGGTGTGTGCCCATCACCCACAACATCAACGTCATTGCAGGTGTGTTGCCGGCCTTTTAAAAGGGAATATGCTCTTTTCTTAAAGGTTATATTGTCGTATCGGTTTTATGGTGAAAAACTGTGGTAACATTACTTGATACTTACTTGGTCACTTGAACTTTTGAAGTAAACTGAATTAAAATAATTTAAAAAAAAGGTTGAATTCAATATGGTAAGCCGAATTAAAATAATAAAAAAAAAATATGAGGTTCAATAAGACTGGGCTTCATCGAACCAAAAAGTGCTAAATTGGCAACATTGGTCACAATTTACGATCGTCGAAAATATTCAGAGGATTTCGCCATTGTGGCTAATATGTTCTGAGAAACTGAGTAATTTTTTTTTATGTAAATTACACTTTTCGCACATTCTCTCTCTTGAGATTGTTTCTCGTCAGATAATAACATTCCGAACTCTACGGTAGAATTTTATAACATGAGGTGTTAAAAATGTAGCAATAAGACAAGCCTAATAATATAAAATACAGATTCTGATATCTCCGTTGGTTCTATGTCTATTTACGTAATGTCCATTGTTCATTCCCATTAATAAATAACACTCAATTTCCCATTACTGATCCATAAATTCACCATATAGTCCCGACATAGAATGGGCCACCACTTCCTTTCCCATAAAAGTTGTAAAAGGCGACCAAAGGAGCTTAATAGTCGAAGTATGGGCAGCAGTCTCTCCTAAAAGCAGCAGTCCTCTAGCCGCTCACGATCAAAGGTCCCGAGTAACGAGAGGAGTAATGGTCCCGAAACTAGTCGAGCTTTCTCGTCCTATTTGTATCTCGTCTATCTCGTCTTATTTACATGTAAATTAAACCGGTATTTGTTACATTAAAATATAACGTGTACTTACGAAACTTTTAAGAATGAAATAGATCATAACCACAAGAATAAATACTCTTTATTTTACATTTTTCGCGTGGTCCCGGCGTAGAATAGGCCACCCCTCCCTTTCCTGTGGGTGTCGTAGGAAGCTGCTAAGTGTGCTTTATGGTCGAGGGTTGGGCAGCAGCGTCCCTCTTAAAACATCACCAAAACCTAACTGCAGGTGCCAACCAGCCTGCCAAACATGGTAACTACTGGCAAAACACCCTAATAGCAAAGGTAATATAGTTAACGTCTGATATGATTATTCATAAATGCAATTAAATGTGGATTACCTTATCAGGTGCCTGTCACCTTGGGGCACCATCACCAAAACAGCTATGATTGTATGCCTGTGTTTCAGTTTGGAGGAAATAATGTACCAATAAAATTACAGATTACATATTCATAACCATTTCAGCCTTATATATTATATAATATATTTCATTAATTTATTATATAACACATATTTCATTAATTAAAATATATATTTCATTAATTAACATATATATTTTATTATACAAAACAAAATCGTGTCCAATTTAATAAAACTAGCTCAGAAACAACACTTAATATTTAAAAAAAGAATCATTAAAATTCTAACAGTATTTGCGAAGATATTTAACATACACATTTAAGTACATACAATAAAAAAATACAGTAGAAATACTAACCGCATTACCGCATATTTTCTTTAAAATACTGTACAACACTATCTTAAACTTGCAAGCTAAAAGACATTACGTTACATGAACAAGCAATAAATTCATCTATACTTACCCACTTGTATCTAGAAACAGAAGTCACTGCAGAAGAAAATGATTAAGGGCCGCGTGCAAACAGACGTATGTTATTATATCATTTGACATGAAGCATTATGGTCGTAGGACCATTTGCGACGGGAACAAAGCGCAGGCGCAACGGCGCGGCGGGCGCAGCGCGGTGGCATCGCACTGCGATAGTGACGTACCAAGTTGGCCCTTTCATGTCATTCGAGTATTTTAGTACTTGTTAAAAAATAGAATCGAATTTTAACGAACTCGAATTTGAAGACTTGAACAAAAATTCGAGTAATTGTATTGGTATTCAAGTACTTTAACAGACTGGAATAATTTTTTAGTTGATTTTTAAAGCTACTTTTTAAAGATATAACAGGTACACGATGATTTAACCATTTGTACTTTGAAAATAAAAAAAAAGTAATCAAAAGATAAAGTATAAATATAAAAACTTACATCAAAACACATGGCAGGTGGGCCGTCAGCTTGTTTGCCGTTCTAAGTTGTATAAAAAAAAAATTATCCTAACAACAATAAAGGAGTAGCCGATGCGATTTCGGCCTTTAGATTCGAGTACCTCAATTACTTGAAATCTGTATTCAAATATCATGTGTCCGAATTCTGTACAGTGAATATTCGAGTACCTAACAGGTATTCGAGTGAACCTGTATCGGTCCATCACTACATTGCGGTATTAAATCAGGCGCGTGCTGTAGCCGACATGCGCCCGCGCATAGTAGCCGAATATATGTGTCAGTCTTCAAGATTTAAACATGAGAAATATAAATAGGCATTATTATAGGCATATTTATAAATTTATCTACTCATATATATCAAAGAAGGTTAATATTTAAGTCTGTTTAGCCTACAGAACTACGTGAAATCTTTGTACTTTGTACAAAAGTCGTTTGCTTGGGTACCTCTGTCCCATTCGTGTTTTTACCGCAAAGTGTGTTTGCATGGCTGTATTTCGGTTTGAAAGGTGGGATATGGCAGTAAATTTACAGGGTTTAGTCAGTCCTCAGAAATGGCAACGCATGGGGGGTATCATGGGCGAAACTGTATACTCTGTTGTCTATGGTACTGCTCATGTTTATAGGCGACGGTTACCACTTTCCATCAGGTGAGCCGTCAGCTTGATTGTCATTCTAAGTCGCATAAAAAAAACAACAAAACAGTCTAAAATGCTTTGTTTTAAAAAATAATACACAAACATTTATTAACTTAGATTATTGAAATTGATTTAACTAGATTAACCAATACCCTAATTAAATCATAATACAAAATGTAATAAATACAGACGATGACAGACAGACGTAATAACTACTCTACATATCATTTATAATCATCGATTTTTTATTAGAGTTTTAGTTTATTTAATTAAAACTGCATGGACTATATTTATCGTATTTCTCAAAAGTATAAATAGATAAATAGATACTGTTTATTGTTTCCTCCATAAGATTACAATAGTAAACTTATTTGAATTATAAATACAAACATATTTAATTCTATCTACATCACATAAAACAAAAACATCTTTGAAAAATACCCAACTATATTTTTCACAACATTTCAAAAGGCAGTCCAACTGGTGATGTTACTAAATCAATCTCTTATATTGAATCTACTGACAATTGGTTGAAAAAAGAAAATGTGGTACAAATAAAAAAAAAGAATATCAGGCAACACCGTATAAGGCCTAATCTACACACGGCGCAATACGTCAGCGTTGAATAAATAAAGGTCCGTTCTCAAATGGGAATGTCCGTTTGTATCAAGAATCATATTTATTTGCCAATATGAAATGGACTGATGCCATCTCTTGTCGTTTGATTTATGCCGCATTTATAGTTTCCTTATTTGTTTCTGCTCGGAGATTTGTACGATTAACGAACTGCGTATACATTATCTGATCCGCTTTCTATATCCGCGGCTTTGTACAACACTAATCATTTTCTGCCTAGTCTTTTACCTTTTTTTTTTTATTAAAAACAGTTAATCGTGACAAATATAATAGTTATTATTATTTTTATTTCAACCGCTAACTGTGCATTGCTGAACATAAACCTTCCCCATATTTTTGGAGAGTTTTGCCAGTAGTTGCCACGCTTGGCAGGCTGGTTGGCAATCGCAGTTAGGATTTTAGAGATGTTTTTAAAGGGACGCTGCTGCCCATCCCTCGTCCTCCCTTAGTCGCCTCTTACGACACCTACGAAAAAGGAAGGGGTGACCTGTTCTATGCCAGGACCACACGGTGATGTAAAAGAAGAGGTGGCCTATTCTATTCCGGGACCACACGGTGATGTATAAGAAGGGGTGGCCTATTCTATGCCGGGACCACACGGTGATGTTTAATCAATGTTTTCGTTCCAAATAATTCTTTATTTAGAACAAAAACGTTGATTACAATATTATTGAAAAACGATGATATCCGCTGAAGTATAAAACACGTGTCGCGAATACCAATGTCTCCTCTTTATTGCAAGATTCCATAATAAACCAAGTAAAATGTGTAGTTATATTAATGAAGACAATTTTTAACAACTGTATTAAAAAAAAAGAAAACTTAAAAATAGCAGCCTATATTTTATTTTCAAATGTGTGCGTGTGTGTGTGTGTGTGTGTGTGTAAATTTGTGTGTGTATGCGATAATAAATTAACTAGTAATTTCTATATTCTTAAATTTAAAAAAAAAAAAAAAAACTACACATTATATGTAGTATTATTTTTTCAAAATAAAGCAGTCAGTGAATTATGTGCAACTAAATCACCGCTGATATAGCTTATAAATTGTGCATTAAATATGGCTTCTGCTAGAATTTGACGTCATGTGTTGATCTGCTATACAAAAATATCAATCAAGTAGAGTGACTCTAATTGACAATAGATGGCGTTAAAACATAAAAGTGTGAAAAATACTATATAACATTTTATTAGGTACAACTACACAATTACAATATGCAATGCTGTACTTACATTTAACCTTGTCGAAGTCCATAAGCGTGCAGGACTGCAGGGGCCGGTACCCGTAACCCCGGGTGGTGTCACAGCGGTACACCGCGCCGGGCCTCGTCACGTTCGGTACGTGGTAGGGCTCCGCTTCTGGTGCGCCCACCAGCACGCTGCAAAGACAAACTCCACTTAGCTAATCGGTCGCTTTTATACAACTGTCAAAGAATAGTCGATATTTTCAGACATAAGAAGTTAAGATAAAATAAATTAAATATATTTTTATAGATTTATTATAATAAAAAAATATGTTTAATATTAATATTATAATAAATATTATATATTTATAAATTTGCCTGGAAGAGATCGCTATTTAACGATAAGGCCCCCCATTGTTGCTTCTTGATTTTATCTAATTATTTAATGTAATATATTCATTTTGTTTGTGTGCATATTTTTAATCTTTATAGTCTGTACCATTCTTTGAAGGGAACAATAAAGAGTTTTCATTCATTCATTCATCATTCATTCATTCATCAATCATTCATCATTCTTTTATTCATCATTCATTTATTCATCATTCATTCATTCATCATTCATTCATTCATTCATTAGAAATATAACCCTGCCTGCGCTATCGGTGTACGCTAACGGAATATCGTTGAATAATAGTAAGAGAGGATATAGTCGGGTTAGATGGATCCATCGTGACTAATTAACCGAGAATTAACTGCAATGGTTACCTTGCTAGTTCCCACGGAGAGTATGTAGTATAATTTGCTAGCAATACCCCCCGCCCCCCTCCCCCAATCTAATTATATTTACCACTCTATAGAATTGTACAATTGCACAATTGCAACATTTTAGAACTGAAGCATTGTTTAGGCGCCAAAAGGTCACAAACAAACAAACTTGTGTGTTCTACTTTCCATTAGTTTGTAAATAATACAGTTTATAAAGAAATTTTAATATTTGTTACTCAAAACGTCGAAACAGATTTGATGGAACTCTCATACACAAATACACTATACCAGGGCTGACTTGACTGGACCCAAGATCTACTGTTTACTGACGAAACCCTGTGCGATCTACCAGTTACATACTTCTTGAAATCTCAAATAAAACAATATATTTTATTTTGTTAAGAGGGAAAACATAAAACTAAAAATTATTCTTAGTAACTACTTATTTATATTAGTGTGAGCATTGCGTCTGAGCATCTTCCGTTAGATTAGCAAAATGGTGACGTGTGAACGGTTGACCACCCCTGTTCTATACCCCAAATTAACACAAACTACATTTACTGTTTAATACCTTATTTAATTCACTCGGACAAAGCGGTGTGATACTATTAGTTCATAAGGTAAGAATTAATGTTGAATGAAACACGACTTCGAAAGGGCGCCGTGCTCCTATTGGACCAACTTTTCGAAGTCCTTTTTTTATTTGTATCAACTCTGCCGGACCAGCGGGGAAGAATTTAAAAAATGTGTTTACATCATCGTTGCATTGTACTTTAGAGAAAAAGGTTTGGGGTGCTTGATTAACGGAACGTTATGTCATCACTAAAGTCCGTTTCACAATAGAGAGAGACTTTGTACAAGTCGATCGCTTGGGTACCTCTGTCCCATTCGTGTTTCAACCGTGAAGCAGTTGTGTTTGCTTGGCTGTGTTTCGGTTTGAAGGGTGGGATATGGCGTGAATTTACTGGGTACAGAGGAATAACACCTGAGTCCTCAGGAATGGCAACGCATGGGGGGTATCATGGGCGAAACAGTATACTCTGTTATGTCCATGGTACTGCTCATGTCTATAGGCGACGGTTACCACTTTCCATCAGGTGGGCCGTCAGCTTGTTTGCCATTCTAAGTTGTATAAAAAATATAGAACCTTCCTGTTAACACTTCTTTGCATGATTTTTTTTATTGGCGAAATAAATCAAGTTGATATAATTCATGTTCAAAATTAAAGGACAAAAAAATAAATTTGACAGCTATGTTTTTTTTTCTGCAATGGACATTAAAAAGGTATCCAGACATGATCAGCTTAAAGTAAACTTGTTCTTTTATATAATTTTTGGCCATTCAAATTATGATGGAAATTTCCACCACTATGCAAAGAAGGGTTAAATCCTTAGTAATTTATTTTTTTCATCGTGTACTCCCTGCATAGAATAGGCCACCCCTTCCTTTCTCGTGGTTGTCGTAAGAGGCGAGTAAGGAAACTTAATGGTAGAGGGATATAGCAGCAGTGTCTCTCTTAAAAAAATTTCAAAGCCTAACTGCCAAGTGTGGCAACCAACCTGCCAAGTGTGGCAACTACTGGCAAAACTCCCCTAAGGGGAGAGGATAGGTTCAGCAGTGGACAGTTTTTTTTTTTTTTGATGGATGAAAATGGTATGGTAGCCCCGCCTGCGCTAACGGGATACGCTGGCGGAGCACCAGTGAAGGGTGATAGATGAGAATGAAAACCAGGCCAGTTAGCCCATCATGATGAATTCATCAGGAATTAACCATGATAGTTTCCAGGGGGAACCGCGAGGAGGTCGACCTGGTTGGGTATATTGCTAGCAACAGTGGACAGTTAACAAGTAACTTCGCCTGCACTATCGATATACCCTAGACCATCTGGTCTGGCGTATCTATACCAATGAAGGATGATAAGTAAGAACGAAAGATGCTAATGGGTGATGATGAATCAGCCAACAGAATTATATTGTTTACTTAGATTATATAGATAGAGTATCTCCATACAAATTCTTCGACAAAAATAGGTCAACTTTTTTATCTATGTGTGCGTAAATCGGGTTACCAGTATGTACAGTTATTACTAAATATGTGGGAGTTTGTAATAATAAGGTTTAATTGAAAAATAAAAACGAAACAAAATTCTTATTTATATATTTAATAGAACAAGGTAAACAGTGCATAATGGTTGACAATGATGTTAATTTTTTATTGAATAATTTGATTTATGTATCTCGGAATATAAGACATAAATGTGTGTTTTTAAATCATTGCAAATGATCGCCATCTTAGTTACTACGTGTATATTAATTTATAAGCAATACGTCATCATCGTATCAGCATTTTTGACAATAGTTACCACGCTTAGCAGGCAGGTTAGTAACCGAAAGACACGAAGAGACAGAGACGAGAGAAATAGGAACGCTGCTACATATCGCTCGACCATTAAGTTCGCTTAGTTACCTTTTATATTACGTTTATATTATATCAGAAAAAAAAATCCAATTTCAAATTTAATAAATCGACAGTACTTGGAAACTTTTAATACAAATACTTGCAACACTGAGAAAACACGCCATTTTGTATTAATAAAAAAAAAATTACATTTAATTTAAGTGACTAAATTTAGACACGTTTTTTTCACTCGATGCTCTATCTATATGTAATCCAAGATTGTTTACTACGAAAAACATTGTTCGATGCTTTGATTGGAAGGAAGGGGGTCACACTATCGCACGGCGACGCTGGCCGGCAGCCAGCACGCAAATAGACGGGGTTCAATCTCCGGCGGGCCACTTGGCGAATCGTATTTCTATATCGCTGAATCAGTGGTGATTTGTATGGCTTAGCGAAGACTGGTGTTGACGTGACACATTGTAATCTATTATTTTATATTGTCATTATTAATTAAAACGGCTCACTAAGCAGAGCTCACTGTGCTGCCTTTTTGGTAGAGGAACATTGGATGTATCATTCCTTTGTAGGTATTTTATTTATTTATTAATTACTAGCGACCCGTCCCGGCTTCGCACAGGTGGACATTTTTACATTTTAAAAAGTGGCTTTTAAGGCTGCACACGCTACGGAAGCTTAAAAATGGAGTAACTTCCCCCGTTTTCCCAACATTTCCCTTCACTGCTCTGCTCCTATTGATTGTAGCGTGCTGAAAAGTATACTATAACCTGGCCAGGAGTATGAAGAATAATTGTACTAAGTTTCGTTAAAATCCGTTGAGTAGTTTTTGTTTCTATAACGAACATACAGACAAAAATTTTACTGATTGCATTTTTGGCATCAGTATCGATCACTAATCACCGCCTGATAGTTATTTTGGAAATATATTTCATGTACAGACTTCACCTCTCTACAGATTTTTTATAAGTATAGATTAAATATCGCTTACTAATTAATATTATAAATATAAATGTGAGTTTTTATTTGTATGTTATCTTATAGCCCCTTAACGGCTTAACCAATTACTATGAAATTTGGTACACACGTAATATTATATAAGGGATGGAGAAAGATATAAGATACTTTTCATTCCATGATAGTAAATATAACAGGTCACGCGAACGAAGGCACAGGTAAAAGCTAGTAGTCTATATACACAATAGAAACCAGAGGGAGACTGTACAAAAGTCGATTGCTTGAGTACCTCTGTCCCATTCGTGTTTCAACCGTGAAGCAGTTGTGTTTGCATGGCTGTGTTTCGGTTTGATGGGTGGGATATGGCGTGAATTTACTGGGTACAGAGGAATAACACCTGAGTCCTCAGGAATGGCAACGCATAGGGGGTATCATGGGCGAAACAGTATACTCTGTTATGTCCATGGTACTGCTCGTGTCTATAGGCGACGGTTGCCACTTTCCATTAGGTGGGCCGTCAGCTTGTTTGCCATTCTAAGATGTATAAAAAACAACTGTACTCCATCGGTTTTCACTAGATATTTGTCACGTTGATGTTTATGAAATCTATTAGAGGATTTTTTTTGATGGATGAAAATGGTATGGTAACCCCGCCTGCGCTAACGGGATACGCTGGCGGAGTACCAGTGAAGGGTGATAGCTGAGAATGAAAACAGGCCAGTTAGCCCATCATGATGAATTCATCAGGAATTAACCATGATAGTTTCCAGGGAGAACCGCGAGGAGTTCGACCTGGTTGGGTATATTGCTAGCAATGGGATTCTCAGTCTCCATTACTAACAATCCCTTTCCTGTACCTGTATTTACATATAGGATACGTTTTACCCTAAATCACGATTTAAATTTCACGGATTACAGTTAACATTAAGAATAAGTTATCACAACACAATATAGGTAAACTAAACAAATTAACAAAGGCGCCCAGTTCGTGTCACATCGGATGTGCGCAGGAGTCGAGCGTGTCGATTATTTCTGGCGCCGGAAGAGGGGCTTATTTT